ATAGCAATGGACAACCAACGTTCTTAAACTCTTCACCCCAAGCAAGAGTTAACACTCTCTAGCAGAGTTCCCTCAGAAAGCAGAAATCAATGTTCCCCAGTGAAGTTTCCTCAAACAAGAAAGTAGGAGTCCCCAACAGAAATAATCCCTAGAAGATCAAAGATACACATACTCTTCATCCCCAACAACAATCAGAGATTTATTTTCCCAGACTAAGATGTTGCTCAAATTTACGAATGCACTTCAATAACATTTCACATTCACCATCATTTACCAATATCATAGCATATGCATACGAAACACAAATAGCACAGTCTCATTTATTTTGAGAATGTCATTACGTAATGCACTTCATACATCATGACATTGCATACAACTAACCCTATATCTTTTCAGGTAAAGTCTATAAACAGACAAATAACATCATTTATATACATGACCAGACAAATTTCTTCAGAAACTAAATTCTGACAAGTATTTCCCTCAAAGACTTTCCCTAAAAAGTCATTCTGAAAAATATCTCTTCCAGATAAATTCAGGCGTAGACATCTTCTAGTGCTTCATTTAGACGAAATCAAGCGCGGATTCCTTCTGGTACCCTTTGAAGCAGTAGTCGCCATAGATTCCTTCTTGTACCATTTGAAGTAATAGTCTCCATATATTACTTCTAGTATCTTGTGAAGCAGTAGTCGCCATAGATTCCTTCTGGTACCCTTTGAAGTAGTAGTCACCATAAAATCCTTATGGTACCCTTTAAAGTAGTAGTCACCATAGATTCTTTCTGGTACCCTTTGAATTAGCAGTCGCCATAGATTCCTTCCAGTACCTTGTGAAGCAGAAGTCGCCATAGATTCCTTCTGGTACCCTTTGAAGTAGTAGTCACCATAGATTCTTTCTGGTACCCTTTGAAATAATAGTCGCCATAGATTCCTTCCAGTACCTTGTGAAGTAGTAGTTGCCATAGATTCCTTCTGATACTTATTGAAGTAGTAGTCGGGCGTAGACTCCTTCCATTACCTATAGAATTAGTAGTAACCATAGATTCCTTATAGTACCCTTTGAAGTAGTAGTCTCCATAGATTCCTTATAGTACCCTTTGAAGTAGTAGTCGCCATAGATGCCTTCCTGTACCTTGTGAAGTAGTATTCGCCATAGATTCCTTCTGGTACCCTTTGAAGTAGTAGTCTCCATAGATTCCTTCTGGTACCCTTTGAAGTAGTAGTCGCCATAGATTCCTTCCAGTACCTTGTAAAGTAGTAGTTGCCATAGATTCCTTCTGATACTTATTGAAGTAGTAGTCGGGCATAGACTCCTTCCATTACCTATTGAAGTAGTAGTCAGGCGTAGACCCCTTCCGGATACATCTCCTAAAGACCAAGTCAATCATAGACGTATTCTTATATTTCTATCAACGGTTACTTTGGATGGAATCAATAAGCCCATCTCTGACGACTCTCCATCACCTTAGGATGGCATCTATAAGGACATCTCCGAAAATTCTCCATCACCTCTCTGAATTGCATCTCTAAGCCCATTCTCGGTTCAATCAACCAACAACAATACTTCTTGCATAGGCGAGTGAAAATTTCTAGGAACTTAAGTGTTCAATCATCTTCTACCCTCAAGTCACGAATGGAAAACAACCCAATCTAACTCTTTAGGTTTAAGAGGATTGAACAGGGGCAATTGTTGTATCCCAAAATTTTCCCTCCCATTTTCTTCAAGACATTCTTTCAAGGCTTCTCAAAACACTCAAGGGTTATCTAGTCAAGATGCACCACCTAAACCAAAGGCCTATATCTAGGGTTTGGAGTTTCTCAAAGAAATTTGGTTTGCAAAGGTCAAAATTTTCTTCCGTGGTTCTTCATAGGTCCTTAATGAGGTTCATAAAGTTCCAAACCCTCCATCACAAGTTTGCTCAGTCAAAGACTCAAATGATTGAAAATTAACTATATTGGTCAAAAAGTCAATTGTGGTCAACATATAGTCAAACTTCAAGATTTTTGGTCAACATCAACATTTTGAGGTTATATTCATCATTCGATCAAGGGTTGATCATGATTCCCCAAGGAAAGCTCTCAAATCAGCAAAAGTCAAGATTTGTCAAATTAGGGTTTCCTTAGGAGAAGTCAACTGAACTTTGACCAGGCATAACTTTCACATGCTTCATCAAATTTTCCAAAACCAAAGCTCATTTTGAAGAAAATTCAACTCTCTACAACTTTGCTGTTATTTTCAAGTCAAAAAAATGCTTCATTTGGAAGATATGAACTCATACATTATAGGCCATCTTCAAAAGTCAGTAAAAGACACTTTTTGTCAAGGAAACTCACATCAAGATACTTTCTTCCAAAGCGAAAATTACTAACATAAATATTGTAGAGTATATCTTGGGATTTCCAAAAATTCCAAGATCATCTTCTAAAGATGAAAATTGAGCAAGTTATGAGTTTCACAAGTTGGGGAATTTTGAAGAAATTCATGAAGTACAAATTGAGCAAAATTGCATTTTTGAACCAATGAGCCTAGTTTTTGATGTTCAGACATGTCCATAACATCTTAGAGGACCTCCAAGTGAATTTTTGTATGACCTTGATTTTTATTTGTTTTAGTTTATTTTTATTTGTTTTAGTTTATATTTATCTTGATTTTATTTAATATAAAATCAAATAAATTAAATAAAAATACAATAAAACATGAGATAATGCATTTGGGCATTACTTAACCCATCATAGAGTCCAATATTTCATGCAAATACCAACGAAAATTGTCTAGGTTCATGCAAAAACGGAATTGGAATGCATCATTCAAATATGACCAACTTTCAATATGTTGGATTTTTTGTCTCATGGCCTTGAAAGCTTGATTCCTTGCCACAATGGTCTGCTCTTCTCTCTTTCCTCTATAAATACACGACATTACAAGCACAAAGGACCATGAAATCCTTGCATACAAGAGCCCTTTTGTTAATTTGCAGTGGAATAGCAATAATGTTAGTTATGCAATACATTGAACATCAATAGTAGATAAATAGGGGATTCTATAACATAACCTAACTGCTTCCGTATTATTGCCAGGATAAACTTTTATTTTTTTCACATTAAAACTCGAATCCCCCCCCCCCCTCCCTCCCCCATTTAGTATTTTCTAAACATTTCACAATTTTTGTCTTGTTAAATAGTAGTCCTTGTGATTCGATCTTTTTATTACTTTGACATTATTGGTACACTTGCCGAGAAGTCATCAAGTTTTTGGCGTTGTTGCCGGAGACTGTTGATAATTTCAACAAGGCAACACTTGTGCAACATTTTTGTTTAGTTTTTTATATATATTTTTTATTTTCTTTATTTTTAATTTTTAATTTTATTTTATTGTCTCACATTACTACTAAGGTATTTCTTGTGTGGTTTACGCAAAGTTCATGGTCAAACAAGAAGAAACAACCATGGTAGAACCAACTGCTTAGACCATGGGGGACTATTGCAAGAGAACTGATGCATGGCAAATTTCTTTGGGATTTAAATATGTTAACTCTGTTATTTTTTTATTAAATTTTTTTTTCTTTCAGACTTAAGAGATAATTGGTTTGACGGTTAGATGAATAGAGATCATTGGGAACATCTAGCTCGGATTTAAGAAACAACATCGATGTGCACACTAGAGGGGGTAACTTGTCATACCCCAATTTTTGACCTAAGATACCACATTCCATCTGTATTATTACATAACAAGTGTGTACAAGCAATTCAACCTATTTTTGCCATTTCTCGAGTCAGATTTTAAAAATTCATAACTTCTTAAAATTTCGACATTTTTTAGTGGTTCTTTTACATATGATTCTCCTTGACAACATCTATAACTATTCTTTACAAGCCAATAGCTGATTATATTTGAAAATCCACGAAAGAATGAAAACGTTAGAAGTAGCTTTATGAATTTAATGTAATTTGATCACGTCTTGTCCAACCTTTACCGAATCATGTATATCGCACATTTTTTCGTCATTTATTTATCATTTTTGTTTTATTTAAAAAAAATCTAAAAAATATGTATTTTAGTTCATGTCACTTTTTATTATCGCATTATTAGAAAAATCACAAAAAAATATTTATAATTAGCATTATAGTATTTTAAATTTGCAATTCTTAATTCAAAAAATATCAAAAATTATTATAGTTTTATTGGTTTCATTTAGATTTATGTTTTAGTATAAATTTTAATCTAAAAAATCTCAAAATATAGTTAATATCTTTTTTCTTTATTTTACATTTTTTGATTCTTTTTAGTCATTATAGTTTTAGCTTCTTTTAATCCAATATTAATTTTGATTTGATTCTAATTTTAATTCAATTTTTAAAATTAAATTAATATTAAAATTAAAATAGAATTAATTTTGTTTGCATCTTATTTTTATTATTATTATTCTTCTATTTTTGTATTACTAACAAATTGCCTTTTATCATTATTATTACTATTGTCTTTGTTTTATTGTTTTATGTCCAATAAAGTTGTGGTCTTAAAACCAGATTTTTGAACTTGCAAAACCAGTCCATATCGTTGTCGTTTGCTACACTCCAAAACCTGCTGCAAAATGCAAAAACTTTGTAACTTGCCAAACACAATAGTCCAAATTGCTGTTGTCTTGTGTCAAAGATTGCACCAATATAGAAAATACAAAAACCTGCATTCAAAAGCCACAAAACAGCATGTCATCAATTCCCCCCACCCACCCACCCAAATCAGTCCAAATTTATTTATATAACAAAGGGAATATACACAGCAGAGGGGGCAGATCCAAAGTATCAAGAGGATAAAAAAATTCCTCTTCATCACACCTTCCTGATCATCATCTTTATCTTTGCCGGCTACTTCCTTCAACCGAACCTGCCAGCAGCTTCACGCGAATCTCTCGCTCAACACCATATCACCTTGTTTATCTTCCTTCCTCAGTCCGCCAAACAGCTCCAGAACTATGGTTCATGTAACATTTTACCACAACTATGAAAAACCTTCAAGAAACCTCGTCCTCCATACGAGAAGGAGCGTTTAGACGCCTAGTTGAAGCTCGTTAGTGAGTATGGGCTCAGGTGCAAACGTGAGCTATGGAGAGTGTAGTACACTCTCAGTAGAATCAGGAACAATGCCAGAAACCTTCTTACTCTTGATGAGAAGAGTCCTTGTAGGATTTTTGAAGGTGAAGCTTTACTTCGAAGAATGTTCCGTTATGGATTACTTGATGAGACTCAGATTAAGCTTGATTGTGTTCTTACTTTAACTGTTGAGAATTTTCTGGAACATCGTCTTCAGACGCTGGTTTTTAAATCTTGTATGGCTAAGTCTATTCATCTGCTAGGGTTCTCATCAGACAGAGGCATATAAGGGTTGGGAGGCGGTTTGTAAATGAAACACAAAAAATTCTTCTTCAATTCTTTTTCAAATCCATACAATAACACCACCACCAATTTCATATACTCCCTCATGAAACCCACCATTCCAAATTCCATTCTTTAATTTCCCCCCGTCTTGCACATCAACTTCTATTCCCATCTTCCATTTTCTTCAACGCGCAGCGCATAACCTCCACTTCAATACCTTTAACTCAACCGTACAACTTCAACCTCCAGATTTCTCCCGTCTCCCTCCAATACAACCTCACCGTCATCACCTTTCCACCATCTCCATCATCGTACATCCCTTCTTTACAACTCAAAGCCCATTCTTCTGCTACCTCCATACTCCTTTCTTCTATCTCCGCGAAATCAGCGTAAACCCTCCCTCTGTCCATATTCGTCTTATTTTATCATTTCTTTCTAAAAATCTGATTTTTTTTTATATATAATGTTTGAGATAATAAAATAAATGTTGATCATCAAATATCTGTTTATAGTATTACGGTTTAAAAATGTGGGTTTTATGTTAGTAGAGTGGGTTTGACATCACTTTGGTCTAAACCCAATTGTTATTTCTTGTATACCTCATTTAATTTTTGCACCCATTGTTTTGTTTTATTATTTTAATTTAAATGTTAATTAAAACTTGCTTGTAAATAAATTCAAGTGGCGTTGCTTATTTTATTTTGTTGCATTGCATTTTCGAAGTTAATTATAATTTAACTCTCAAATACACATGGATGCATAAACTTCATTGGTCGATTTATTTTATGGAGTTTAATTTGATTCATTCTGGTCCCTTGGCTTTTATCATTTGACTTGGTTACTTCTTAGTTGAGACATTGAGTTATTTCTCTATGCTGTTGGATTTGTCTGCATGTTTCATTTGATGCAAGAATGTTTATCCGTTACCATGAGCTTTATCTGTCGCCTTTGTGATTTATCCAATTCCTCTCGGGTTTATCCACGCTTTCTTCGTCCATGATTTATTTTCACGTTTGGAGCTCCTCGCTTATGATTCAATGCGCTTTATCCAATGCTTGGAGTATTATCTGACATTTGGGTTTCTTTGATGTTGTCTGCTATTGATTTATTTTCACTTGAGATTTGGTATACTTTTGGCTTATTTGTCTGCTTATGGCTTTAAATCCAAAGGGAAATGATTAAATTTATTGACTTCATGTCATCGAATATATCTCCCATAATTGTGAGAAACCTTTCATATGTTTGTTGCTTTTGTCAAAATTAAACCTCCTAAAAACTCAATGTTTAAACACACATTTTTTTCTTTCAAGCCAAAAATTCGACATTAGGTTGTCGCATTTTCAAAATTTCACGTCCACACTCTTTTAGCAAACCATTTTTTAAACCAAAATAACACATATATTTCAAAAGGTTCCTGCGGAGTACCACAAATGCATTGGGTGATAGTACATTCTCTTTGTATAACCAACCCCCGGACTTTCGATCTCTTTCAAAATCGCATTGTAATTTTTCTTTACTTTTAGTATTGCACTTACTTTTCATATTTAAGGATTTTATTTCGCTCTCTTCCATTTTCCCTTGGAAATAATAAAGTGCGGTGGAGACTCTTGCTTATTTGCTAGTCAAGTTAATTAATATCTTGATCTCTGATTTTCACCGCTAGAGAATTGGCGACTCTGCTGGGGAGAGATTGACCTCTTGCAGGTCCATCCCTAAGTGGGTTAAGCCTAATTTGTCATATATGTTGTTATTATTATTTGTTTATTTGTTTGATTATATGTTATATATCTTGGTTATTTGGGTGTTGATGATACTTACAATGGACAAGTCCTATACTCGGACTAAGTTACACTAAAGAATATGACGGGCGGTATAGTCATGTTAACTTTGAGGGAGTAATCCCGAAGAAGGAGACATGAAATCCCTCACTCAGTGGAAGCCCCTTTGACTGTAGTATTCGTTTACTGAGTAATCAGAAAGATGTTACTGCTTTCGACCTGGGAGCCAGAGAAGTTGAGAACCGTAGAACCCTTAACCCATCTTGGCCTCTTAGGTGTAGTGCAGAGACTATAACGGAGTAATCCGGAAGTAGTTGTCACGCGATGTTGCACTCAGACGAGTTTCTCTTGAGAATATTGCTAATTCCCGAGTAATCGGGACGTTGTTAATATCCGATGGAGGATTGTAGACTCTGGGAACTTTTTAGAACCTTGTTATACAGGTGTGATTAAACCTTTAGTACATACCTTGGGATGGTCTTTACCTTTGACTCCATGCGCGTGACGTTTAACCTTTCAATTTTGTTTGTGACCTTGGTTATGGTTGTTGTATAGCCATGCCTTCATGCATCCATGAAACTCTTTTCACTTGATTTTCAAGGAATTTAGAAGTCTTTATTTGGAAACATCACAAGTTTTGTCAAGCTCAATGGATCTTGGGTGTTGATGGGGTGAAAACCCTAATCCACCAAAATGGGTGATTGATCTTGATGATAACTTGATCAACACTTTGATCCAATTTAAAATTCATTTTCTATCTTCATACTTTGAGTTCCTTAAAAAACAAATAAAAAATCTTTTGCATATCATGCATCATTCTACATTTCACTTTCAAACATCATTTCCAAGTCTTATTGTTCCTTTGGTCTCACCAGTACAACACTTGCGCAAAGAGGAAGATGGAAAAATATTAAGCAAGAGATTTTTGAAATCCACAGAGAGATGACTAATTTTGAAGCTAGTATGGAGCACTTAACTGGTTTGGTTGAAATTTTGGTTGCCTCCCAAGTCAATCCTTCTAGGAATGAAGAAGCGATGGCAAAGGTCTTCACCGAAACTCTGAAATCATTCTTTCATGAGAAGATGATAATTAATGCACCTAGTGACTTTCTTGACAAGGTGAATGTGGGAGTGCATCTAGAAGAAGATGTCCAAAAGGGATGTTTATATGAAGATGGTGGCTCAACTCGTGGTGTGAAGAAGTTTGATGATAACTTTTTCAAAAGAGAGCCAGAGGAAGAAATAATCATCGCCAGAATCATCATGTTTCTCCTATCATCCCTGTGTTCAATTTGCCTCTTGTAACTCCAGTTCATCAATAAAACCATCAAGTTCCTAATCAGAGGAAAACTCAATTTGATCCAATTCAAATCACCTATACGGAGTTGTCTCCTGCCCTGATGCAGAGTAATTTGGTTCAGACTTGACTTCCACCGAAGATTCCTGGGAATATGCCTTGGTACTACAAAGCTGATTTAACTTATGCTTTCATCAGGGAGCCCCTGGGCATAACATTGAACATTGTTATTCATTGAAAGCTGAAGTACATAAGTTGGTCAGAAGTGGTATCTTGTCATTCAATGACGTTGGTCTTGAAGTTCAAATCAAGCATTTGCCGAAGAGTAAACCTGATTGATGGTTACTCTGAGTTTTGAAGGATGTTTTCAGCAGCTTAAGTCCAGATGGAGAGAGTCTTCTCAATTTATTATTTTTACTGTTTTCCCTTGTAATCTTTCATGTTTGTTAAAGCTTTGTTTGCATGTAAGAACTTGTTTACATTTGAATGATTATCTTAATACAATGGGTATGTTTGTCTTAAAGAAATTCATTCGTTTCACTCATATTTGTTTTCAAATTTTAAATTGCTTTTTGCATTACAATACCGACTTATTTCCCATTCTCTTGCCTAGGAAAAGATTGAAGGGAGGATGATAATCTGAAAAATGCAAAAAAATCTTTGGTTGTATGCTTTTGGATAAAATCTTGCTGAGGATGTACATGCATTGCTTCAAATCCCTAAACACCAGAGATATAAGGAAGATAATCCCTTGCTAACCCCTTTTGAGCCTTGAAGTAGGAGTTTCTTTTCTATATAAAAACCCTCAATTTTAATCTGAGGCAGGGTAGTTTTCAGTTAATCTAATTGAGTGTTCAAAATTCATAAGGAAGATATTTATGAAGAGAAACTACGATGGCTATCCTTCATATATCATGAAGCCAGAAGATGCGAAGCCACAATGGTTATCCCTCATCCATCAAGAAACGAGGCAGTTACAATCCTCTCAACAAGTCAAGATAAGCTAAAGTTACACGTTTTGTTCAAAAATCAAGAAGAAAAAAAGAAAAAAAGATCACTAAGTCGAAAACTAGAAAACGAGCGACTTAGGCAAAAATTAGGGTATCCCGCTGGACTATTAATTCAAAAGAATTAGTTCAGGAAAAAGATAGGAAAAAATTGCAAAGAAAGGATTACAAATAAAAATCCTCAGCAAAGAAAAAAGTTGTATGATAAAAGTGAGTGATTGTCGTGTCCAAAGAATGTAAGTGGTTCACTAACTATCAACTATATCCTCTTGAGAGATGAATGCTCATATCAAATTAACTGAATATAGGACTGAAGAACATCATGAATGGGGTGGGCCCCAATAAATTTTGAGCCTAAAATAATCTTTTTTTCTGAAAACTGTGAACCAGGCAACGTTACAACCTTTAAAAGTCCTAATTGAAGCAAAGTTTATATCAAAAGCATACTCCAATGAGATAGTGTTCCTGACTCCTGTAAGTTGTGCTAAAATATTTGTGTTGGTATCATATGCTTTTGTTATCTTTCATACAAAAATAAATAATGCACTAATTCACACTTTGCGACATCTTTTAAAAAAAAATCTTCAAGACTTACATAACTGTTGTATTAGAATTTTCATTCTCAGAATAAACTTTGCTGCTTGTAAAACAATTACTTAATGTCAAGGAAGCTTCCATATAAGCATCGGTGATGATTTTGATCTTTTGAGGTTTGAAACTTTGTTAAGCAATTGGAAAATCGTTTCTAAGAATGATCATAGGCAGGGGCATGTCGCCTTAAGACCTTCAACATGAATAGGTTGTTGCCTTCATAGTTTGGTTACCCTCTTGAGGAAAATTCGAAGACTGTGTCTTGCCAAATACAGTTAATATGGGGCAGTCACGCCAAGGTTCAACGAATCTCTCTAAGAGTTTGAAAACA